GGCTCTGCCGGCTCCTGCGCAGGATCCTGCGGCCGCAGCCCGTCTGCGGCCCCCGCCGAGCCAGGTACTCCCGTCGGGCCGGGTCCGCCCTGGGAGGGTGGCGGGCGGCTCCGCGCCGCGACCGGGCTCGAACCCCCGGGCGCGCGGCACTGACCCGCTGCAAGTCTCGGGTTTCCGTCAAAGTATGAGGGATGGAAGGATTCCGATGCGGATTTACTTAAATCAAGTGTTTTCCTCGTTTAGAACGCATCAGAGGTCTCAGTTCAGTAGCCACAAACGACCCAGGGAAGGCCCGCGTGCTCCCAAGAGAGGCGTCTATGCGGGCAGGAGTAGGAATCAGGGATGTTTCAGCATTTGGGAACTTTCTGGATGTTTCAGCACTGGGGCTGCTGCACGCTTTAGGACAGATAGGATTAAGAGAGCAGAGAGGTTCTTGTTTTACGAATTAGACCCATTTCCCAGAGCGCCCCCCTCCCCGTGTATGCAGTGGCGGTGGTCAGGAGTGGGAACTGCAAGGGAAGTCAGGACCCCCGTTACCACAAACAAGCCGCAGACCGCAGCTCCGACCTCAGCCATCCTCAGTCATCCGAGGCTTGTGGATAGTTGCTGGGTCTAAGCACCACACTCCAGCACTCTTTCTGATGGAAGGTTCTTAAGGGTCCACTGCTCCCACGAAGGACCACACAGGGCTGAGCATAGCTGTGGGTTTAGCCAAATGGCAGTAATTGGGCGACAAGTATCCAGATCCTTAGTATGCTCACCTGGCTTCCAGCTCCCCCGCCTCTCAGCAGCTAGCCCAAAGAAATTAGCTACCTGGGGGAGAAGGGGACTGTGCATAGCTTTGTTTATTCGCTTTTCAAATTAAAAAAAAAAAAAAGATTCCTAATTGTGAAGGAATGCATGGTCATAGTTAAAGTTGGAAAATGCAGAAACCTATAAAGGAGAATTCAGATCGCCCATGCTGTCATCATTTAATGCTGGTCACTGTTAATATTTACTGGCATCTCCCCCAGGTGTTTTTCTATGCTTGCACACGCGCGTGCACGCACACACACGGCATCAGACCATGTACACAGTTTGAGGCATTATTTATAATAGTGGAGAAACTGGACACAACCTAAATATGCAGCCATAGGCAATGGGTTCAGGCGGACTGTGGACCCTCTGTAGAGTGGATTTTCAGGTAGCTTTTTAATATTTGCGGGCAGTAGTTATGTGAAGTGTGCAGACAGTGTTTCTCCATCTAAACGTTACTGTGTACCAGTACGCTTCTCAAATTCTCCAGTCCTGTGGCCACAAGTAAGAAAAAGGAAGCAAGAACAAGCATTGTGGACGTGGGGGTGAGGGGTGAAGGCAAAAGATCAAGAGCAGCGAGGCATTGCCTCACTGAGGACCCCAGCCTCAAAGCATCTTCCGATGTAAGGAGCCCCGTGATGATCGCTCAGCCATGATGTACCTGTTCTGACTGTACAGACGACCCTATTTTGGCTTTTTTCTGGCGGGGCCCCCAGTTCGGACCAGCGGGGTGATGGCAGATGGTCACATGGAAGGTCCTTCACAAGGCTGTTGAATCACTCCATTCAGATAGACGTTGCTTTCTGATGCATACTTACGTTCTCTTCAAGAGACACTATCTCTTTATAGTTATAAATCATGTAGTGCTATTAAAGTATGTAGTTAATTATATAATGTTAATTTAAATATATAGTCATTACTTTTCCCAATAATTAAAGTAATACATGCTCATTCTTCACATTCTAACACATTACAAATATGTATAAAGTGGAAAATGAGAGGGTGCCCAGGTGGCTCAGTCAGTTAAGCATCTGCCTTCAGCTCAGGTCATGATCCCAGGGTCCTGGGATTGAGCCCCGCATCGGGCTCCCTGCTCGGCAGGGGGCCTGCTTCTCCCGCTCCCACTCCCCCCACCGCTCGTTCTCTCTCTCTGTCAAATAAATAAATAAAATATTTTTAAAATAAAATAAATATAAGCAACATATTTTTTAAAAGAGTCCTTGACTTCCAGATATCCTTACTGAGATATTTTTGAATGACATGATGTTTCAGATTTGCTTTGAAATGATAGCAGACGCTGGGAGAGTAGAGTTCAAATGAGATTGGCAATTGGGTGGGGTTGAATCTGAGTGAAGGGCCCATGGGGATTTATTACAGCATTCTTTCTACTCGTGTATGCTTAACATGTAAATAATAACAATTTAGAATAAATAAATAAACCAAGATAAATCAGGGGCTTTACATAAAAAGCCCAAGTCCCCCCAGACAAGTGGGTAGTGGGCAGTGCTGCTGGCCTGGGAGGGCAGGGTTGAAGGATCCATTCTCTGTGCACCCAGTCTCTTCCCACATTTGTACTTGGCTTTTGAGGGGGGCATCTTCCCAGAGCTTCTGTGGATCACCGTTTGGGCAGCTAGCTCTGGCTTAGCTCCCCGCGTTGTAGGGGGAAGGCAAGAGAAGAGGAGGAGGAGGGAGGGTGATGATGGTGGGGAGATTGGGTCTGACTGGCTGCGTCCCCCACCACATACACACATCCTCCTGACTAGCAGCTGAGAAATTCACTCCCACCCTCTGAGCCTCAGTTCCCCCACCCATCATATGGGGGCTTGGCAGGCGGGGCTCCAAGATCCCTCTCTGCCCTTAGATACTCGAACTCATGCTGGTTGTTTCCTTTTACAGTCTAGTGACACAGGATGACCCCAAGTGTCATGGCCTCGGCAAGCACCGGAATGAGTCCCCCCAGTCCCTCACAGGGACGGTCAAGGTCAGTGAGTCACACGGGTGTGGGAAGCCCCTTTCCTCCCTCGCCCAGGCAGATGTAGGCTGAGCAGCCTGGTGGGGACCCCCAGGGGCACAGGTAGGGGTGAGGAAGGGCCTTGGGAGAGTGGGATGATCCATGGTGAGCAGGAATAGTGGCCCCCGTGGTGCTATGGCCCCTGGATCGCTTGCCGGTGTGGGCCGGCCATTCATGGAGCCAGGGGTGGGACACCCCAATGTAATCCTGGACTCAGCAGCTGAGCCCCAGTCCCAGCCCCCAGCCTCTAGCCCCCAGGTTCCATCTTTCCTAAGAGCTTTGGACCTTAGCGTTCCAGAGAAGTGGACAGAGAAATGGGTGGGAGGTGGGATAGAAGATGGTTTCCATATTCTTAAATAACTCCAGGGAAAGCAGTGGTATCTTCTTCCTTGTCCTGATTTCTGTTCTCTGTAGTACTGGCTGTGACGATAGTCCGCCTTGCATCTAACCTCAGTCCCTCCTGTTGCAATTCTACTGAGGGAGCATTTGGCAGGGTCTTGGGTGAGGAGAGAAGCCTGGCCCGCGGCCCAGGCACCTGGAGCTCTTAGCAGGCACAGGCCCAGGTGTCCAGGCTGCCGGGAAAGGAGGAGGGACACAGAGCCACATCCTGACCTGGGTCCCCGCCCATAGCCCCCCCACCCCAAGCCAAAATAGGGCCCAGGGGAGACCTGTGGGGCCCCAGGGTGGAGGCATTTGTAAATCCTTGGTGTTTTCCCCCTCTTAGACGTCTCCAGAATCCCTGATCAAGCTGGATGCGCCCCCATCGGTCTGCCCGCGACATGTGAGGATCAAAAACTGGGGCAGCGGGATGACCTTCCAAGACACACTTCACCACAAGGCCAAAGGGGTGAGAAGTCTGTGGCTCAGGGAGAACCACCTTTGTCCCAAGCTGGGGAAGCCACTCGGGCCTTTAGTAGATCAAATGATGTCGCCCTGGGCAAACCAGACAGTGATCTGCTTGGGCACAGGGTGCTGGGAACAGAGGCCAGTGGTCCGCACAAATAACAGAAGGATGTAGATGATGTCAGCCCCCTAGTAGTCCCCTGATGGTTGCTGGATAGTCCAGGAGATGGGATAAAGGATCACAGGAAGAAATTCAGTCTTTTTTAGAGAGACCGCATAGTAACAGGGAGAATTTTTTTTTCTTTTTCTTTCTTTCTTCTTTTTTTTTTTTTTAAGATTTTATATATTTATTAGAGAGAGAGAGCATGCATGCACAAGCAGGGGGAGCAGCAGAGGGAGAGAGAGAAGTAGGCTCCCCACTGAGCAGGGAGCCTGATGCGGAGCTTGATCCCAGGACTCTGGGATCATGACCTGAGCCGAAGGCAGATGCTTAACCGACTGAGCCACCCAGGCGCCCCCAGGGAGAATTTTCTAACAGAACTGCCCAAAGCTGGACTGAGCTACATCAGGAGATAGCGAACTCCCTGTCACTAGAAGGATTCAAGTGCTATTTGATAGGGAAATTGGAGAGGAGTTCAAGCAGCTAGTGAGTAGTTGGAGTTAGTGTCCTTCAAGGCTCCTTCTCTTAAGTGTCTTATTCTAACTATAGAAAGCGTTCTGATTGTAAAGTAGAAAGGAATTGAAAATTTCAAGACCTTGAAAGCGGAAGGATTTCCCATACTTTCTAAAAATTACCACAGTTAACGTTTGGGTGTACTTCCTTCCAGCATTTTTTCTGTGCCATCCTCTGACTTTAGGATTTGTATCCTCTCCTTTCGGTTCATTTTGGCTGAATACCAAAAGTATGTTCCCAGGAGCCACATCAGCCTCTTTAAATGAGAAGGTAGTTGAGGTATTCCCAGAGATCAAGCTGTTGACTTGGCCCTGTGTCTGAGTCTGGTCGGGGAGCAGAGTCAGAGACTGAGCCCAAGGTGGTGGGAATAACCCTGGCTCATACCCACTTGGGTCAGCCAGTAGAGGAAAGGAGATGTGCATGGTGAGAAAGCTTGGTGGACCCCAAGGAGGAGGTGCCACAGGGGTGGAGAGGGGCAGCAGGGAGCTGGAACAGCTGGAGTGGAAGGAGGTGGCTAGGAGAGCTGGCCCAGAAGGAGGACCCCCATCAACACCTTCCTGAGGGGTCCAGCAGCCCCCTCACCTCCTGTCTCTCTCTTCCCAGTATCTTGCTTGCAAGTCCAAGTCTTGTCTGGGAGCCATCATGAACCCCAAAAGTTTGACCAGAGGACCCAGGGACAAGCCTACCCCCCCAGACGAGCTCCTACCTCAAGCTATTGAATTTGTCAACCACTATTACAGCTCCTTCAAAGAGTAAGTCTCACTTGGGCTGGATCGCTACGACCCCCTTTCCCCAAGCTCTTCGGTGTCCCGTCATTTCCCTCTGACCCCAGGCCCTTTCCCTTCCCAGATTCACAGTGGAGCCAGGGCTCAAGTACAGTTTTCCGAGGGGAAAGACCAGAGTCAGTTCTCATAATCGTAAGAAAAAGAGGTATAGCAATAGTGGTTAAAAGTGTGGGCCAGGAGTGTAGCTGTTTGACTTTGAATCCTGGCTGCACCAGTAACCAGCTCTGTATCCTTGGGGAATCTGCTCACCCTCTCTGCACCTCAACTTCCTCATCTGTAAAAATGGAGTGAGAATAGAACCTGGCTTAGAACAGCGTCTTAGCATTGAGTAACCTTGACAATGAGCTGATACGTACCCTTTCATTATGAAATGTTTGAAAGAGAAAGGACTTCGGGGACCACCTGGTCAAACCCTCCTCCATCAAGGGTGAACAGGGAAGCCCAGTCCCAGCTAGAATCCATGCCGTCTGACTTGGAGAGGGCAGGTCATGCTCTTTGCACTGAACTCTGTGGGGTTCTGTATTCCTGGGTTTCATAAAATATATGACTATTAACGGCATGGATGCCACTGATTTCAACCCTGGCTGTGCATAGAGTCACTTGAGGACTTTGCAAAATGCTGATGCCAGGGTACCCTGGGCCAAGGGCATCAGGATCTCAAGAAGTGTGGAGGGGGCAGGGCTCTGTGTTCCCTAAAATCTCCTCTGGCGACTCTAATATAGAGCTGGGTTGAGTAACCTGTTGGGACTTGGCTGCCCTATTTGCTATGTAACCACAACCTCTATAGGAGTGCTTTGTGGCTAGGAGGTTCAAGATTCTTGGGCTGTCAGCTCTGTCAATGACTAATGAGCCTTTCAGGGTCTGGGAATTCATTCACTGGGCACTAAGTATGTTCCGGGCCCTGCATAAGTGCTTTGTGAGCAATGCTCACCACAACTCTATGAAAGGAGTATCATTAGGATCCTCCCCATTTTACAGACACCTGTAGGAACTCCCCCATTTTACAGGAACTGAAGCCCACGGATGAAGTAATTTGCTTGAAGTCAGAAGTTTGGGAGTCCCACAGCTGGGATTTGAACCCAGGCAGTTTGGCACCAGAGCCCCTGCTTTTAACCTGTGTTCTAGCATCCAGCTTTTTGACCTTGAAGGTTCCAACTTCAAGCTGGACCTGGGAGGTCCTGCTGGCATTTGGAAGGCACTGGGTGGGTGTTAGCCCGGGGAAGTCACCGGCTTGCTCTTGGTGGTGTTCAAACCCACTTGTTTCTCACAGATGGAAGGCCCGTTTCTCAGTCCCAAGTCCAAACCTTGAACCCATCAAGAGGTCCTGGGGGGTGTGAGTGACAAATGGCTGTCCATCCCCACGATCACACAGAGTTGCAGATGGCTGGCAGGTTCGGTCTTTAGCGAAAGAAGGAATGTGTAGTTAGAAACTGTAACTTGCTGAATCTGTTCAGATCCGTTCACTGATGCCAAAAGCTACACTCTTTCTCCAGAACTCATAGGCATAATAGCATCTGTAGTGCCTCGGAAGTGCGACTCTATGAAAACAGTGGTAAAATATAAAACTCTAAAGGAAAATCGGGGGGAAATGTGAAGAAGAACCCTTTCCTACATAGTCACATATTAACACCAGGGAGTGGGCTCAAGGTATCCGTGTTCTGGTGATTACTACGGTGTCCGTGCTTGGACTCAGACTGGGGAGTCTTGCTAGAACTTTGTGGGGTGGGGGGAGGGCTCCCAGTGTGGCAACAGCAACCTCACCCAGCAGGTCCTTATGCCAGGAGTGTCCTTGCAGATAAAGAGCCCCAAATGTTTGGTCTCTGAGCTTTTTTCTTTTCCTTTTTTTTTTTTTTTAAAGATTATCTATTTATTTATTTGACAGAGAGAGACAGCGAGAGAGGGAACACAAGCAGGGGGAGTGGGAGAGGGAGAAGCAGGCTTCCCGCCAAGCAGGGAGCCTGACAGGGGACTCAATCCCAGGACCCTGGGACCATGACCTGAGCTGAAGACAGACGCTTAATGACTGAGCCACCCAGGCGCCCCTGAGCTTTTTTCTTTAATGAAGGAAGAGCCGTCAAGACACTCTTCGTCCATAGAAAGGCCATTCTGTTCGGAGTTGTCCACTCTCCTTAATCAGGAATTCATTCCTTACATAGTGTTGTTTGTTGCCATTTCAAATTGTCTTTGATGTTGATTGGAAATTTCAAGGTTGCTCTGTGTGTGTGTGTGTGTGTGTGTGTGTGTGTGTGTTTCAAAGCCTCTCTGACTGAATCCCTCCCTGGGGGATATTTTTGCAGCCTGGGAGGGGTGAGGAGGAAGAGTTTAGAAATCTCCCCTGGGAGTGCTGGCTGAGCAGGGCAGAGGTTGAGAAAAAGCATGCTCAAGAGGGGTCTGCGAGGTTGGACCATGCTGTGGAGGGCTCCTTCCTGAATAGGCCCTGGGGCCCTGCAGGCTGGGTCCTGAACGCCCATCCCAGTTCAGAGAGGCGTGGGCAGGCCCTCAACATCTCTGCACTTGCAATCCCCCCTAGGGTGGAGGGTGGAAGGTTAAGAGCTGGGCTTGGCATCGGGGCACTGTGAATCTGAGTCCTACCTGCTCTTTATCACACTTATGTTCCTGGGCCGGTACTTAACCTACCAGAGCCTTCATACCCCAGACTATAAAATGGACACAAAAGCGCCGCCCTCACAGACTCAGTGAGACCCTGACTGTGAGTGGCGTCGCCCAGTACCTGGCTCAGAATGGGTACTCAGTACACGGGAGCTGGCATGGGAGGGACTGCTCATCTCTGGACCATGGGATGGTGGCCGGAAGGCAGCACGTGGCTGTGACTTGACTTGATGGGTCTTTCTCTAGTCTTTCAAGTGTCTGAGGATTGCACTCCTTGCAGATGCTTGCCAAGCTGAGATGAATAGGATTGGAGAAAAAGCACCTGGAAACAAGGGTGCCAACACGATCAGGACGGCTAGGTAACTGGCAGGAGTCAGTGGAGAGATGAAAATGTGGGCTCCCTGTTCAAAAATGATGAAGAATTTCAAGAATTTCAAGACAGGGACAAGAGAGCATTAAGCCAAGCCTGGAGCCCTTCTGAGCTTGGGGCTGGGGTCCCACACCTGTGAAGCCGGCCCCAGAGGGGGATGGTTCTCTATCAGGGACATCTTGCCCTCCTGGTAGCGGAGCTCAGTTCCTGCTTCTGTGCATTGAATGAATCCCCATCTAAGGCCATCTCATTGTTGATCTTCCTGCTGTCTTCCTGTCCCCCAGGGCAAAAATAGAGGAACATCTGGCCAGGGTGGAAGCGGTAACAAAGGAGATAGAAACAACAGGAACCTATCTGCTGACGGCGGATGAGCTCATCTTTGCTACCAAGCAGGCCTGGCGCAACGCCCCCCGCTGCATCGGGAGGATCCAGTGGTCCAACCTGCAGGTGGCCTTCCTTAGACCCGGGCAGGGAAGGAAACGGGGGGGCGGGCAGGCCCTGAGCAGGTGGCTCTGAGCAGTCGGGAGGGACTCCCCGGTTTTCTCTTCACGTTCGTGACCATGAGATGGGGATTCGTCGGGCTCCCCCGGGAAGTTTAGAATCTGATTTCAGCACAGGATTTCTAGCAGGTCTTTTGTCTCACATTAAACACAGACATAAAACCGAACCTGTTGAGACCCTGGTGCCTCAAGAGAGGACTGTTTGAATCCTTGGCTCCTAGGAAACACTGTCTTTATCCTAGCCTTCTAGGCGGCTTTACCTTGGGGGATCATTCATTGCTGGATAATATGGAAATCGCTGGGACAGGGAAGTTGATGAGAAATGCCAGTGAAACCAACATGGGCTGAAAGAAAACGTGCCGGGAGCCTGGTGTAAAATGTGCTGATGTTGTAGAGACACTAGGTTACGGCTGTGGGAATCCCCACTCACATGCTCGAAAGTCAGGTTTTCTTGGGATTTGGGTTTTGATAGGGCTTTCCAAGAGGGGTTGCCTGGGCTCCCGCAGGACAGCAGGAGAAAGGCTGGACGGGGGAGACCTGAGACGGGAGGTGTTGATGCAGAGAAGAGAACGCTCTCCTCTGCTTGGAGTTTGGGTGGTGGGCGACCTTCAGGCCACTCCCCCGGTCCCTCATAACTTAGCTTCTGATCAACCCTGGGACCTCTGTCCTCACGGTCCTTGATGGTCTGGGCTGGGTGGGCTGTGTGCAGGTCTTTGATGCCCGGAGCTGTTCCACTGCCAAGGAAATGTTCGAGCACATCTGCAGACACCTGCGTTATGCCACCAACAACGGCAACATCAGGTGAGTGCACCTTTCCCGGGGCTGCCGCTGGGGCCCACCCTGCCCCGGAGTCTGAGCCAAAGGATGCAGATGGGTTTAGGGGAGGCTTCCCCAGGAGAAGCCCGGGAGAAAGAGAAAGGAGAAAGAAACAAGCTTCTTCGGCAAGCCTCCATGAACTTAGCCCCTCTTCCTAGCCCATGTCCTTGGTTTCCTTCTGACTTGGAACCATTTGGAGGGGATGGGGGATCTTTAAGAAGCAACATCTTCATTGCTCAAGGTCAGGCTCCCCGCTTTTTAGAAGGGATGAGAGGTTAGTTTTGCAGCTCAAGGCTCCAATGTGTCATTTTTCTTAGAACTGGAGAGTCACTGCCCATCAGTACCCACCCCCGCCCCAAACCTTACCTTCTTCTACCCCCAACCAAAGAGGTCAAGGCTGATAGGACTGAACAACCCATTCTGTCATTCATTCATTTTTCTGTTCAGCAAACAGCGCCCGTATAATGGGGACCCAACCCATGACTAGGCATGGCAGTGGGGTGGGGCCAATACAGAGGTGACTAAGATCTAGGACCCTGCTCCAGCCCACTGTGAACCTATGCCTGGCTCTAGACAAGCATCCTGCTAACTGGACTGCATGAGAGAAAGGTGCAGCGAGGGAAAAGGCTGGGACAGCTAACCCCGCCCAAGGGATAAGGAATGTTCCTGGAAGGGGTAGTCCCTGTATTGGTCTCAAAGGAAGAGGAAGCGCCAGAAGGAGAAGAAGGAGAGAGAGAGGGTATGTCAGGAAGGGAGGCAAGGTTACACTGAGGCCAGTGAGAGCCTGGCATGTTGTGTTGCTGTAGGAGTTTGGTTCAGTTAGCTCAGGTGCAGGGGGATGGGGAGCGGGAAGACAGGGGGCAGAGGGGGACCTGGGGAGGCTGGCTGGGAGCCCCTACTGAAGCCGAGGAGTAAATGGCACTGTCCTTGTCTTGGGGAAGGTCGGCCATCACTGTGTTCCCCCAGCGGAGCGATGGGAAGCATGACTTCCGGGTCTGGAATGCTCAGCTCATCCGGTATGCCGGCTACCAGATGCCGGACGGCACCATCCTGGGGGACCCCGCCAGCGTGGAGTTCACTCAGGTACGGGATCCAGCCTTGGTGGCTGACAGAGTGGAGCCAGAGGGGTCAAGGGGCCTGGGTCAGTGGACTCATTTGGGCCCGTCTTGCCCGCAGCTGTGCATCGACCTGGGCTGGAAGCCCAAGTACGGCCGCTTCGACGTGGTGCCCCTGGTGCTACAGGCGGATGGCCAGGACCCTGAGTTCTTTGAAATTCCGCCTGACCTTGTGCTCGAGGTGCCCATGGAACATCCCAAGTAAGCAGGCGGGGGTGCTGGGCTGTGTGTCAACGTGCATGCTCCATCCCTTCCTTGGGGAGACCTCAGTCCTCAGGCCCCTCCTTGCCCGCAAAGCCCAGCCAGCAGCAGGCGGTGTGCAAAAGGGCTGGCTCTCAAGGCTTGCCTTGTCGACGCTTGCACAGCAACCCCGGACTTGGGTCTTGGGCCTCAGACTTAGGAGGATATGTTGATGATGAGGGGGAAGCAGAGGCTTAGACAGATGGGGCCCTAGGAACTTGGAAAGCAGTGACCTTGGGAGAGGAACCCTCAAAAGGCTCTATCATTCTCACACTGAGCAGCCCAGGCCTCTTGTCTTCCTGCCAGCTCTCTCAGCTACCCCTCTTCGTACTGTGGTGAAACTATAGGGCCATAGTGACTTCTGGAGCTCATCTGGTTCAGCCTCTGCTCTGGGCAGCAATCATCATCACAAAAACTCCTTATATTCCTTATATTGAGACTCACTGTGTAGCAGGCACTGAGCTGGACTCTTCTTTTTGTCCCTTGCATACGCTGAACTCAATCCCACCTCAGGGCCTTTGCATTTGCTATTCCCTCTGCCTGACATGCCTTTTCCTCGGAAATTTAAAGGATTCATTTCTTCTTGACAATGAAGTATTTCCTGAATGTCACCCCCTCTGAGAAACCTATCCTGAACACTCAATCTAGAGCAGATACTCTCACCTTCTGTCTACCACATCACCTTGCTATTATTTTTCTATTCATCTGTTCACTTGTTTATAGTCTAGACTCTAGTCTGTAAGCTCCTTGAGAATAGGGATCCTGCCTTTCTTGTTCAGCTATATATCCCTAACACCTGAAGGGTACCTGGCACATAGTAGGTGCTCGATTACAAATATTTCTGGAATAAATGAATTTACAAATGAGTGATACCATTATCTTTATAGTAAACCCATGAGTTTGGTGCTAGTATCTCTATTTTACTGGTGGGGTTACTGAGGCTCAGAGAGGCTAACTCACATCCCAAGGTCACACAGCTGATAAGCGGTAAAGAAGAACTTGAACCTGGGCTTTCTGACACTAGAGTCCTTAACCGCTGTGTTATGTTGGGTTTTCTGCATTTAGCATGGTGCCTGTCACATGCTTGTTGCTTAACATATCTTTGCATGAACGAGCGGGTAAATGAATGCATAATTAATGAATGATACCTACTGTGCCCTGTTCCCCTCTCCAGGTTGGAGTTGGGAAGGAGTTTTCTTGCTTGACTCTTTTTCTGAAGCCTTTTTTGTTGGTGGGGGTGGAGGGAGAGGGTGGGCAATAACGCAGGCCCCAGTGACCACTGGCTCTGCCTCCCTGCCAGGTATGAGTGGTTCCGTGAGCTGCAGCTGAAGTGGTACGCCCTGCCTGCAGTGGCCAACATGCTGCTCGAGGTGGGTGGCCTCGAGTTCCCAGGGTGCCCCTTCAACGGCTGGTACATGGGCACGGAGATCGGGGTCCGGGACTTCTGTGACGTTCAGCGCTACAACATTCTGGAGGTAACGGGGCCCGGCGGGCGGGGCCAGCTGCAGATGTGGGTCCGTCCAGGGGGTTCGTGAGGACCAATTCACCCCATCACTCTGCCTCTGCAGGAAGTGGGCAGAAGGATGGGCCTGGAAACGCACAAGCTGGCCTCACTCTGGAAGGACCGGGCTGTCATTGAGATCAATGTTGCTGTGCTCCACAGCTTCCAGGTACGTCGTGTTCTGTGAGTCTAGAGACTTTCTAGTCAGAAGGTTATCTGGTCCAACCGCTCATCTCATGCTTGGTTCTCCCCTGACAGCATTGTCCATTTTTTATATGCATCACACTAGTATTGAGCACCTAGTTTGTGCTAGGCGCTGGGGATGCAGACAGATAAGCCCTCCTACTCACACTGGGTCTTCTAGTGTAAACTTGAATGCTTCTAGCAACAGGCAACTCCTTACCTTTCAAGACTTGTCCATCCCCGAGCTTGAGCACTGAATCCTATTCCCTCTCCATTTCTCAAGGACTTTACTCCTAAAAATTCTGCCCCCCTTCTTCTGTCTCATCAGTGTCTTCCTCTCTGCTGGATCATTTTCAGCAGTGACCAATAGGCTGTAACAGGTCCCATCTCCAAGAAAGAAATGACCAGCTAACCAAATAAGTCCCCCAGCTACTACCTTGTTTTCCTGCTTCCTTTTACAGCTAACCCGCTGAAAGATCTCACTCCACATCCTCGTACTCCAGCCACTCCAGTCAGACTTCTGTCCTCTACCGCTCTTCTGGTCACTCTGGAATTCTTGCTGTTTTCCAAACTCACCAAGATGGTTCCCACCTCAGGGCCTTTGCACTTGCTTTTCCCTCTGCCTAGACCACCCTTCCCACAGATCATCCCATGACCCCCTCCTTCCCTTCATCCAGGTCTCTCTGGTCGCCTCCTTAGAGTTGCTCTTCCACCACCACACCATGGAAGACGGCACCCTTACCCCACCTCCATCTCATCCCTCTCTCTTCTTCGACTCTGTCTTTATTTTTCTTCATAATTCTTAACTAGCTCCTGACATCACATAGTACATCTACTTCATGCCTTTCTTAGGGCTGGGCCTTGTCACTTTTATCCACTATTCTATCTCTAGAGCGTAGAAGAATGTCTGGCCATTGTAGATACGGGAAGAAATATGTATTGAATGAATGAGAGCCCGTGTCCACATGAGCAGGGGCTGCCTTTGTTCTGCTGAGCGACTGTACGCACCCCATGGGCCCACACACGGGTTAGTACTTGTGTGGGACTGAGCCTTCTGGCCTGTCTGCAGCTCTTACTCATATGAACGCTCCCCTTCCTTTTGGGAAGGAGGCAGAGGATGTGTGAAGATAGTACCGTAGAGGCTGAAACCATCTCCCCAAAGCTGGCAGATGCCCTGAAAGCCAGACCACTAGGAAGACAGTCCTTTATTCATTCTGCAAAACGTATTGAACATTTTGCATGTGCCGGGCACTAGGCTTGGCCAAGGATGTGAGTGGTGAACAAAATAGACAAAAACCCTTTCCTTGTGGAGTGGAGTGGGGAGTTGACATTAAACAAACATTGGTGAATATTTACAATTGCACAGCTTCCCAGGGCTGGTCACCCCATAGGCAGGTGAAGCTTGTGATTGATTGTTGCGGGGGGGCCTGAGGCAGAACAGGAAGAGCCCCCTGGGGATGGCCCAGCTCAGAAGGACCCTGCTGCCCGTGGACCACACATCCTGACTCCTGGGGGCTCTGTGCACCAGCCCTGTCACTGCAGGATGCAGATATCTCCCAGAAAATCTGCTGATCCTCAACTGTCTCCTGATCATTGCTGACCACATCCCTCCACTGCTAGAGAGTCTCCAGGACTTCCTCATCACCCTCTTTTAGGATAAGCTTCCTCATCTGTAAAAATGGAAATAAATAGTAGGACCTTCCTCACTAGGTTATTGTAAGAATTAAATGAAAATGTATGCACAACACTGAGCTGTGCTGCCTGGTCCCTAGTGAACACTCAGTAGGCCTTAGTCTTTTTTTTTTTTTTTTTTAAAGATTTTATTTATTTATTTGAGACAGAGAGAGAGAGAGAAACAGCATGAGAGGGGATAGGGTCAGAGGGAGAAGTAGGCTCCCCGCCGAGCCGGGAGCCCAATGAGGGACTCGATCCCAAGACTCCGGGATCATGACCTGAGCCGAAGGCAGTCGCTTAACCAACTGAGCCACCCAGGCGCCCAGTAGGCCTTAGTCTTATTGTTCTTATTATTTATTATTACCGTCATCAGCTTCTGAGCTTACAGTTGGTCTGGCACCTGCTTGTAGATGTGTAAGATCGCGAAAGACCCGATGAGCCCTCCATCAGCAGGCTGCTCTTGGGCCTCCCGCCTTGACTGGGGCAGTGTCCACCTCCAGGAATGCCCATGCCCTGCCTAACTCTGCCCATCTCTTAGGACTTACTTCTGCTTATGGGACGCCTGGGTGGCTCAGTCAGTTAAGCATCTGCCTTGGGCTCAGGTCATGATCTCGGGGTCCTGCGATCGAGCCCCATGTTGGGCTCCCTGCTCAGCGGGAGCCTGCTTCTTCCTCTCCCTCTGCCGCTCCCCCTGCTTGTGTTCTCTCTCTCTCTCTCTGTGTCAAATAAATAAATAAAATCTTAAAAAAAAAAA